GTGCAAAGTCTTGCAGGTGAGAGAGAAACTGAAATAGTTATTCTCAAGGAAGAACTTGGTCGTGTAATGGAGGAACATGTGGCACTTCGGGGTCATTGTTCTACCCTTGAAGAAAGGCTTAGTAAGAGTGAAGAAGTTGTCAGAATGATCAATAAGCAGAGGGTATCATATGCTGAAGTTCAAAAATTGAGTCAGCAGATTGGTTCATCCAACCCAAGTAAGAATGTCCAGAATCAAAAACTGAAAGGGAAAGTTGGAGAATCAAGCTCATCACTGAGTAAGGCTGATCTAACTTTTGTTAAAAAAGGGTACTCAATTGACTCCAAGAAAGGTAAGCCGTACACTCCAAAAGCCCAGCACAAGAATACTGGTAAGAACTTTGTACCCGTTTGTCACTACTGTGGGATTCGCGGTCATATTCATCCCAAGTGTTATAGAATGCATAATGATATATACACGGGTCGAATTAATGACTGGAGTCCTCATGGTGTTCCCCTGAAAGCACCTAAATTGAAAGTTGATATAGTAAATCATGAACCCAAGGAACGTAAGAACGTCTGTCTGTCTTCCATACTTGCTTTGAAATCCACATCTAACTCTGACTGGTATTTTGATAGTGGATGTTCTCGTCATATGACAGGTTTGAGGTCTAACTTGACCAATATTATGTATGTCTCTCCTAGTTCAGTAACCTTCGGTGATGGAGCAAAGAATAAGGTTCTTGGAGTAGGGTGCTTGAATTTTCCTGGTTTACCCAGACTTAAAAATGTTCTTTTGGTTCAAAACTTGAAAGCCAATCTTCTGAGTATCAGTCAATTATGTGACCAGGGTTTGTATGTGAATTTTACTAAAACTCAGTGTCATGTGTCTGATCAAAAAAATAAACATGTTCTTACTGGTACTAGGTCCAGAGATAACTGTTATCTTGTGGAACTTGACTTGAAATGTAACAAAACCAGTATTGATTTGACTGAACTCTGGCATCAAAAGCTAGGTCACATTAACTATCCTCACCTGATTGAACTCTCTTCCACAGGGGTTGTTCGAGGATTGCCGAAGCTTAAGAAGGAAGAACCACGAGTTTGCGGATCATGCCAAATGGGCAAACAGAAAAGGGCTTCGCATAAGAGGTTGACAGAGGTCAGTACAAACCGTGTAATGGAACTGATCCACATGGACTTGATGGGACCAATTCAGGTCGAAAGCTACAGTGGTAAGAAGTATATTCTAGTCTCTGTGGATGATTTTTCTAGATTTTCTTGGGTTGACTTTCTTAAAGATAAGTCCGAAGCACTTGATGCTTTCAAAAAACTCGTGTTAAAACTTGAAAATGAAAAACGAACTAACCTCGTGGCAATCAGGAGTGGCCATGGTAAGGAGTTTGAGAACCGTGGTTTTGAGTTATTTTGTGAATCACGTGGTATATTTCACCAGTTTTCTTCTCCTATCACTCCACAGCAGAATAGAGTTCTATCACTCCACAGCAGAATGGAGTTGTGGAACGAAAGAACAGGACCCTTCAAGAAATGGCGAGAGTAATGCTAGTGTCGCAGGGTATGTCCTTAAGATGGTGGGCAGAGGCTGTGAACACAACATGTCATATAATTAACCGTGTATATTGCAGGAAGGGAACTGGATTAACTTCATATGAAATGTGGAAAGGTAAAGCACCAAATGTGAAATATTTTCACATCTTTGGGTGCAAGTGCTATATTTACAATGACAGGGAACACCTTGGTAAATTTGAGTCCAAGAGCGATGTAGGTCAGTTCCTTGGTTATTCTGCTAACAGCCGGGCTTATCGTGTTTATAATTTGCGGACTGACGTGGTTATGGAGTCTATAAATGTTGTTTTTGATGATGCTCTTGAATGTGCTATTGTACTTGATGTGATTAACATAGATGTGTCCAGTGGTAAGAAGTTGTCAAATTCTGAAACTGTGAATATGCTGAATGATGTTAAGTCTGAAACCCTTGAATATGATAAAACTGTTGAATCTAATGAATATGCTGTTCCATTGTCCTCCGGAAGTCCTGATGAATCTCGGCGAGACCCTCCTGCCAAGATTCAGAAGGATCATCCTAAGGACCAGATCGTAGGAGGTATATCTGAACGTAACACTAGAGGAGTTAAACCTGATTTTCGTAAGATTGCTGGTTTGTGTCACCTTGCATGTTATGTGTCTCAGATGGAACCGAAAAATACTAAAGAGGCCCTGTGTGATGATTTTTGGGTTCAAGCTATGCAAGAAGAACTTGAACAGTTTGTGGCAAACGATGTGTGGGAACTTGTCCCTAGACCTTCTGATTCGAACGTCATTGGAACAAAATGGATTTTTAAAAATAAGACGGATGAATCAGGGGAGATTACTAGGAACAAGGCCCGCCTTGTAGCTCAGGGGTACACCCAAGAGGAGGGTGTTGACTTTGATGAGACATTTGCCCCTGTAGCTCGGCTTGAGTCAGTTAGAATGTTCTTATCTATTGCATGCTTGCTTGGCTTTGTGATTTATCAAATGGATGTAAAATCTGCATTTTTGAATGGCTTTGGGAGAGAACTGACGGTTGGAGGGAAACGGCTGCGAAAGAAATTTACCTCCTAGGTTTTGTGAAGAGAGGATTTTGAGTGAGATTTATAGAGAGAAACTTTTAAAATGTTTAACTGTAAAAATTCGAAACACTTTTATTCCACTAAAAATTGGTATATAAAATTGTACTATTAAAGATATTAACAGTGAAGATCGAAAAGTATGGGTAGACAAAGATACAAATCTCTTCCGATCATGATTGAATTAGTCTCTCAGGCTGCCTAGCCACTTGTTTTCTTCCCAGCCTCGAAGCAGCTGATACCGGGGTCAGAGTGTCTTCCCCTTTTCCCAAATCATAAGGAAGGATTTGTTCGTTATCCGGCAGGGCTCCTCCTTTATGTAGGAGTGTGTAGCCCAATTTCAGAGTTTTGTGCGTGAGGGGACGGTGATCTTCGGTCGACAAGTACCGTTAAGCGTTGGCCTCATCCGTTGAAGAATATATTATGTTCAAAGGTGTTAGATTTGGCTAACCTGAGCAATCTCGGAGTTGGGAATTTTTGAATTTGCTGTTTTTGGGTTGGGGTAGTGTACTTATCCGTGCGATCGACTTAGATTTGCTGGTTTAGCTGGTGACAATGGTGAAGCTTGCTGGTAGTCGGAGATGGCTTTAGTTATAGTTAGTTTTTTTGTTCTTTTTTTTT